CCACGAGTCTGTCCCGAGCTTGTCAGGCTCAACCTATTATTAAATTCATTGGAGCACAGCTCGAGATATTATTTCACATTGGGTTCGGGGGCCTGTCCTCGAGCTCAACACATTGTCTATTCCCAGTCAGAAGGGCTCGGGATAATTGCTTCACATTGGGCTCATGCCTATCTTCGAGCTCAATTCTTTTTTTCAAATCCCAGCCATAAGAGCTCGGGATGGTTGTATCACGTTGAGCTCGGGGGCCTATCCTCGAGTTCAATCCATTGTCAAATCCTAAACACAAGAGCTCGGGATAAGTCTCTCACATTAGCTTGAGACTATCCTCGAGCTCAATACAATCTAATCCTAGATGCAAGGGCTCGATATAATTATTGCACATTGAGTTCGGGCTATATCTCCTATATGAATCTTTGTCCATTCGTCAAACCCATTACTTCCAAAACTTTTAACAAAGCTCGAGGTTGAGCTCATTCTTTTCAACTTCTAAACAAGGTAGAGTCAAGCTCTTTCACATCAAGTACTGATAAAGCTTGAGGTTGAGCTCGATCATGCCAAATTCTTTTACAAGGTCGAAGTCGAGCTCAGTTCTCTCAAAAATTTCAACAAGATCCGTGTGCTCGGGGGCCTATCGACTTGACATGAGCATGCCTATTCTTGAACTTAATATACTTATGCATCTCATGCCAGAAACTCCCACATTGCACACGAGCTCCTGACATAGATGCACGGGGGCCTATGATGTGTACGAAAATTATAGCCCGACCCCGAACTTTCAAGCATGGCCCGAGGTAAATACCTCGACCACTCTCATCTCCAAATATCCTTTAAAATGTGGTCGGGCCTCTCATAGGTCGGACCTAATAATCGGGTCCTACTAAGGTCGGACCTAATAATCGGGTCCTACTAAGGTCGGGTCCACATGCCAAAATATTGTCCTCTTCTCGAGTCTCTTGCGAGTTTTAGTGCTCATATGACTCAACTGTTTATCATTATCTAAATACTAAACGTATTACAATTCATGCCAAACCTAAAGTGGTAATTGTGATATAACTCAATCACTGTACAAGATAAAGATTACAGGTGGTTGAATCCTGATACAACTCAACCACTGACATCTATAAATACAGGACTCAGCTCCATTATTCAGGTATGTCTTTACAATACAATTACAGCACATACTTTTACACAATTTCCCTCTCTGACTTAAGCATCGGAGGGGCGACGAGCACACACCTCGTTGCCTTTGTTTCAGGTACCGGAAGCCCTTGTTCGTGCTCTTACTCGGTCCTCGGGCTCGGTATTCAAGCAACAAGTTCGTGATATGTCAGGTACGATTTTTTGGCATCATCATTGGCGCCGTCTGTGGGAAACGCAACAGTTGACCACGAAGAAACCCCATGAGAAAAGGCCGACCAAAATATTCCTGGAGAAATAAAGAAAAATGTGACAAGAAGATAGCCAAATGAACGAACAAAGATCTGAGAAATTTACCTCGGCGAGTTTTGACCGTTACTCGAATTTTTGTCCAATTTTGCCCTTTATAAAAGAATAACTACCAAATCTATCATCAAAATTCTTACAAAATCAGCCATTATTCTTCCTCTTCGGTTCTTCATTCTCTGTTCCTCTTTCTGCCTGCACACCTCTTTCTCCTCCAAATCTTCCTCCTTTCCCGATGATCACTCCTTCAGGTCGGTCACCGGTGGCGAAAGAGTATTTGGAGTAGTCCAAAAATTGGGAATTGCTGTGAATCAAGAAGTGCCGTAGCATTTGTGACTACGCAGGATTCAGGTGTGAAAAAAAAAATCTTACAAAATCAGCAATTATTCTTCCTCTTCGGTTCTTCATTCTCTGTTCCTCTTTCTGCCTGCACACCTCTTTCTCCTCCAAATCTTCCTCCTTTCCCGATGATCACTCCTTCAGGTCGGTCACCGGTGGCGAAAGAGTATTTGGAGTAGTCCAAAAATTGGGAATTGCTGTGAATCAAGAAGTGCCGTAGCATTTGTGACTACGCAGGATTCAGGTGTGAAAAAAAAAATTCAATGGACTGTGATTTTTCATGTGAATGGTTTTGGTGTCCATGTGTTTTTGTTCTGTCCCACAAATCCCACAAATTCTCCAAAATCAAGAAGTCCCACAAATTCAGCAAATTGGGAATTGCTGTGAATTGCTTGAATCAACTTGGTATGGGGAAATTACGGCTCACCCATCCAACCCTTTTCTTATTTATTAATCCCCTTTTTACACAAAGTCAGAACTGACTTCTATTTTCCAGAAATTAGTGGGCAAGAAATTGATTTTTTGTGGAATGGGTCACGAGGGTTGCTTATGGAGTTAGCCGCCACCAACAGATGCCGATGGTCGAATTTTTGGACTGGAGAAATGTTCACGGTCGGGTGGAAACTGGAATGTTCTGGATGGATGGAGTAATATTTTTGGATGGAATTGGATTTATTTATATATGGGTATATGCGTCATTTTATCCTTTTAAAAAAAAAATTTTCAGAACCGGTGAACATTAAACTCCCAATCATGGGTTGGGGTTTTTTAAAAACGCTGCTAAAACCGCTCAAAATCGTTCCACTCATAACCGCTCAAAACCGCTACTTTAAAAAACGCCCATTACCGCTACGACGAAACTCGCAAGCAGAGCCTAAATGAAGGAGTTCTTCAGCTAAAGGTAAAAAATACACCGTGAAAACGGTAATCTTCGGCCATGAAACTGGCGAAACCCAATAAAATAAATAGAGAAATTGTGGATACATTTGGAAAAGCGGAGGCACGTCGGGAGAATTTCAGAAAAACAAAAGCAGATCCAATTTACTCCATGCGTAGAAAAGGCAAAAAAAAAAAAAATACATGGCCGGTGGCACGTAACATATATTTTCTTGGAAAAATGCCTTGGTTGGAGTTCTCTTATTTAAAGGCTCTATTGAACATTCTAATTAACCGCAGCAGTCAACTGCCAACACCAATGCTAATCCGATTACCAGTGCTTCCATTAATAGTGTTGTTAAAGCAACAATAATAAAAGTCGGAATAGTGTTGGAGGAACAAGAACAAAGATTTTACCATGAAAATATACAGTATCCAGCTCCAAACCCGGGTATGTGTTCGCCTAACAGAGGTATTCATTTTTTTTCTATTTTGTTGTGAATTTTATATCCCCGAGCAATTCAACTATGGATATGTCATCATGCTGCCCTTTTCGCTTTCTTATCATAGCATGCCACTTATGTATTGATATAGAAAAGATGATATAATGCAGTCCTCCCTTGCATGTTGACAATAATTAACAAAAAAAAAAAAGAAGAAATATATGTGTACATATATATATCAAAAATTCTTGTGGAAAGTTTTGCTTGGACATCAATTCATGACACAAATAATTTTACTTAGTTTTGCATCATCACCTGAAGGCTATAGCTCCAAGAATTAATCATCATTATGAAAATTGGAAACTTGGTAATTCTAAACTAATTAATACGATTGAGATATTAATTTGTTAAATAAGCTTTTGAAATTTTAATGGTTTTATTGATTTACATTTTAATAAACAAAGGTCATGCATTGAAAATATTACTGAACCACTACTTGCCTATATTTTTTTTTACACTGCTACTAATATCAAGCAATTGTCATGATTAGTTGAGATTAAATTTAGTAACTCATGCACACATCCCAAAATAAATATTATGGAGGACACCAATCACACAACATACATGATCTGTGTTTTAATCCTTGAAAAACATATATTTTGGTGTTATAAATGCTCATACTTGTGGTATGATTATTTGGTTATGAATTACAATAACATTTGGTTCATTCATACTAAGTGCTCCATCAAAGCCCTGTCACGAGCAGGTACATCAAAGCCCTACCACGAGTAGGCACATCAAAGCCTTGCCCCACGCAAGCACCAAAGCCCTGTGACAAGCAGGCACATCAAAGCCCTACCACGAGTAGGCACATCAAAGCCTTGCCCCGCGCAAGCACCAAAGCCCTGTGACAAGCAGGCACATCAAAGCCCTACCACGAGTAGGCACATCAAAGCCTTGCCCCGCGCAAGCACCAAAGCCCTGTCACGAGCAGGCACATCAAAGCCCTGTCACAAGCAGGCACATCAAAGCCCTACCACGAGTAGGCACATCAAAGCCTTGCCCCGCGCAAGCACCAAAGCCCTGTCACGAGCAGGCACATCAAAGCCTTCCCCTGCGCAAGCACCAAAGCCCTGTCACGAGCAGGCACATTAGAGTCTTGTCCTGCACAAGCACCTCTAAGCTTTGCCTCGTGTAAGCACCTCTAAGCTTTGCCCCGTGTAAGCACCCCTAAGTCTCGCAATGATCAGTAATAAACCCGACCACGAGTCTGTCCCGAGCTTGTCAGGCTCAACCTATTATTAAATTCATTGGAGCACAGCTCGAGATAT